CATCCCCCGAGAGAAAAAAAACCCCACAGACATGCAGTTGATTAACAAACATGATACGAGAGGACAAGTAATGTTTTCAATACACCATTACAACGACACCTTGTTGACAAAAGTGGTAGGCCTACTCGACTCAAAACCTGCAATTGCTTATTTTAAGATAACTTATTTTAAGATAAGATAAGATAAGATAAGATAAGATAAGATCATACTTTATTATCCCAGAGGGAAATTTTTCTTGGCTGTACAGAACCGTAAAAACACATGCAGGTATACATAACAAAAATTTAATTAGGCCTATATATTACTCTCATTAAAATTCAATATAAAAAGAGAAGTAAAGCTGACAAAATGTACATTTACATCAAATGCATCATTCAACCACATGCAGGAATTTAAATACAAGACCTTTGGAGTAATATATAGAAACATACTCTAAGAGCAACACACATTTATGCTCATTCTGACAAAAGCCTTATGCTAGATGGTAAAAAACTTCTTTTATACCTTTCTTTCTTTTTTTTGTTTTGATGTACACATCTCCAAAAACAAAGAAAGAAAGGTAAAAAAGAAATTAATCACCATTTAGCACAAGGCTTTTGTTAGAATGAGCATAGATGTGTGTTGCTCTTAGTATAGAAGTAGAAGCAGTCACAGACAGGGAGTTAGTAGGTCTACCGGGGAACGTGAATGAACAGCACATGATTATGACTTGACTACGGTTTGAGCAAACAGAAGCATCCACACAAGGACAACTTTTTATGATTAAGGTTTAGTTTAGTTTTAGTAAGTGTTTTACAGCACTTGCAACACAATAAGGTCATATAAGTGCCGAAGATTAGAGGTGTAACAAGAGAGCAACAAACACAAAAAAGGAGGGGAGATACAGTCGATAGACGTTTCATTTAGAAAAGAAGAAGCAAACCACACCAGAGCACCCGTCAACCACCCACGATTAAGGTTTGAGCATAGAATAGGAAGTAATATGTTGTTGTTGTTGTTGTTTTCAAATCCCTTTAACTGCGAGCATTTTGCTCTTGGCAGCGCAATGCCTCCCTCAAGTAACCACATATCTTTGTCATCTGGTCAACGCCAGAGTAGAACAGGCTTTGTAAGTCTGTAGGTGTGTGTAGGAGCTTGCGTCGAAGAATTGCCAGGTTTGGGCAGTGAAGGAGAAGATGTTCAACGGTCTCCTGGTCTCCTCGTGGTAGTCACAGTGTCTGCAATGGGGTTCCCTCATGGGGTTGATTCTGTTTATGTGCTTGTTGGTGTGTAAGTGTCAGGAAGTAAGATAAACAGACTGAAACATTTGTGAGAAAGAATAGAAGTAGGACCCACCAGAGGAGCCCTTCAACTCTACCTTGTTTTCTTGTTTGTCTTAGACGGCATTTTATAACACTTGCAACACAATTAGGTCACATAAGTGCCCAAGATTAGAAGTGTTACAAGACAGTAACAAACACAGTAAAAGAAGAGAGAGATAAGTACGACAGATGCTTGATACTGATAGGAAAAAAGGTGCAAACCACACTGGCAGTGCACCCCTCAACCACCCATGACTAACGTTTGAGCAAACAGAAACATGTATATCTATACAAGGACAATTATTTCAGAACAAGAAAAAAAGTAAGATAAACAGACAGAAACAATGGTGAGAAAGAAAAGAAGTGAGATCTTGGTGTCCTCCACCTGCAATGACCTGCATTTTATCAGAAAATATGGGTTTTGACAGAAAAAAAAACAACAAACATGAAAGTGACCCTCGGTAGACAAATTTTAGTTAATAAAAAAAAAATCACATGAAAATTAAGAGTAAAAACAGGAGACATTACATCGTATGTGAGGCGCTCATCAAAATAATGAAAAGGAAGAAACAGGAATTTTTCTGCAGGTTTGGGAATTTTTATCAAATTTTTGCCTTTTGGCTCAACACCTTTCATGCCCTTTAAAGAACATATTTCTGTGTGGATTATACTGAAAAATGCTTATTAAAGGCATCAAAGATGTAAATTTTCAGTTTCCACGGACTCTCAAGCTAAGGAAATAACTCAACTTTGACGTCCATTTTCTTGCTAATTTTACCTCTGAAAGGAGACCACCCCCACCTTCTTCAGTCGCCAATATCTTGATTTGCATCCAAGATAAATGGATATTTTTTTCAACAAAAGCAAGGCAAATGGTAGGCTGATGATAATAATAACTCCATATGTCCCAAAATCGACAACTGCCTGATTCCACCACGTCGTGTCACATATTATCATCAAATTAGTAGCTCAGGTTATCGCATCTCCATAGATAAACTACTTTGTCTTGGACAATGGGTGGCCATCTCGGACAAATTCGACATTTTAGATCATAATTTGCGGAACAAAAACCTGGGCGGGCACAGCTGATAAACCGAAAGTGATAAGTTGAGATCAATAAACTGTCCGTCTCGTCAAAGATCAGCCACTATCATGAATGTGATCACATACACGATGTAAAACTCGATGAAGCGATACAATGTTTGCCCCAGAGGGGATCACACCCATGCGTGAACGGACCGACACGTTTGTTTTCCCCAACCATCGCACTCGCACCTGACTGAGCTCTCCCCCTAAACTATATCACTTGCTGGGAGGGTAGGACCTACACGTTCGCTCCAGGTGGGATCACATCGAACTGGGAACTCTTCCCTGGCCATTGCAGCAGGTTGCAGTTGTCTCTACACCCGAATTTACGAGACAGACTGAATTTTAATTGGTGTGCTCACAACGTAACGTAACGGTGTGTAACGACAAAGACGGGGGGAGGGGGGGG